CACCCTTCCAAAATCTTAAAGCCTAGAAATACATCTTCCAGTAATATAATAACAAGCAACAAAATTACAGTCAAGCAAGTTGAAAGAAGTATGTAATTCATTTTAAATGGGTTATTAGCTGAATACTAAAATCAATCGTTCAATGTCCCTGGATAATTTCATCAATTAGATTTAACTGTAATTTAAGACAATCATTAGCTTCCTAAAGTCTTAAACTTTTAGACAAATACGTTTTTAGAGAACAGATCTCCCTTCAGATTCTTGAAAGATTTCTTCTTTGACTTGATTCCCTTTAGATATAATAATTTATATGGTGCCCCTACTGTCAGGGTTTAAGTGAGTCATCGCTTTGTTCTCTATATGTCAAACCACTCAGTACCTTTCACATAGTACTCTCTTGAAATTCAGAGTGGAATAAGTCACAAAAACTGTTTTCTCTCAGAGATAAGGTTATGCCAACATAAGCCAACTCCCTGAGAAGAAGAGTATTCCCAGTATTTTCATGTACTGGTAACATTTATTGTACAGATATACTTTTTAATTTTGTTTGTTTTGAGGGAACACATAATTTACTGTAAAACTGCTTTAGATTTCAAACTCAGGCAGTGAGTATAGTAGCTAAGAGACTAGACTTTGTCAGACAGAACAGGAATCTGGTAGGTTTTACCACTTACTAACCCACATAACCTTGGGAAAATAACTTTAGCTGAACATTAATTACTATGGCACTGATCCAAGTGCTTAACTTGGATGAACTTATATATGCCCCAAAAAGCCCCTATGAGGTAGGATCCTATAAATGAGGTAACTGAGGCAAAAACAGTAAGTAATATGCTGAAGGTCACAGAGCTGGTAAAATAAAGAATTGAGATTAAACTCAGGTAGCCTTGTTAGTAGAGTCTATATTCTAAACCATTTCATGGGTGGTTTTTAAAATTTTTAAATACAACCACTCTAAGAAATAATTTTTAAGGGCTGGGCATGGTGGCTCATGCCTGTAATTCCAGCACTTTGGGAGGCTGAGGCAGGCAGATCATCCAAGATAGGGAGTTCAATACCAGCCTGACCAACATGGAGAAACCCCATTTCTACTAAAAAGATAAAATTAGCCAAGCGTGGTGGTGCATGCCTGTAATCCCAGCTACTCAGGAGGCTGGGGCAGGAGAATCACTTGAACCCGGGTGGTGGAGGTTGCAGTGAACCGAGATTGCACCATTGCACTCCAGCCTGGGCAACAAGAGTGAAACTTTGTCTCAAAAAAAAAAAAAAAGAACAAGAAGAAGAAGAAGTAATTTTCCTAGGATTCATTGTATGGAATATGTTCTGTAACACAACCCAGTGCACACACATATGTATGTGCTTATTTTATAGATATTAAATGATATATATAATTGAAATCAAAACTTGATGAAATTATGCCTACTCCTACTCTTCCTGAAATGCAATGATATTTTATATTCTATTTTATTGTTTAACAACTACTGATCACTCCCTACAAAACTGATTTCAAAATCCACTGACAGTCATGACCTGAAATTTGAAAAACAAGAAACATTTCTTTTTACCACCATGGAAAATTTTGGAGGATTAAATAAAATAACATACCCGGAGCATTTAGCACAACTCCTGGCACATACCATGTGCTAAATTCATGGCAGCTATTATTATGTATCTTTTTGAAAACTAGCTACAATTGTGGAAGACAGAAACAATGAGGGGAAAACCCTGACTGGACTATAGATGAATTTATTGCCCATTAGGTCTGTTCTTGGTAGTGAGATGGGGAATTTCCCCAGTATCTTTCACTTGTGTTGCAATGGAAATGTGTATGCAGAAGGAGAGCTGACTCATGGTTATCTCTTCTCCACTAAGAAAAATAGCAAACTACAAGTTATTGTGCCTCTCCACTGGAAACCTCAGTGAATTCCAAGTTATTAATCCATATTTACATCTAATATTTGCACTGGATACAATGATGTATACAGAATTGGTCTTGAAAAGGAGTCCTACTGGGGTGAAGTATTCATTTTTCACTGATGCTTTATCAAATTACCACAAACTTTGTGGCTTAAAACAATGCAAATTTATTATCTTATAGTTAGTTCTAGAGGTCAGAAATCTGACTGAGTCTCACTGGGCTAAAACCAAGATGTCAGAAGGGCTGGGTTGCTTTCTAGCAGTTCTAGGGGAGAACCTACTCCCTCACCTTTTCCAACTTCCTGAAAGAAGCCACCTGTATTCCTTGGCTCATGGCCCCTTCCTTCATCTTCAAAGCCAGAAACAGTGGGTGGAATCTTTCTCACATCATGTCACTAACTGACACTGACTCCATTATCACATATCCTTTTCTAGCTTTTCTACTTCTCTTTGATCTTTTAAAAACCTTTGTGATTACACTGGCTCCACCTGAATAATTCAGAATAATCTCCCCACTTTAAGATCCTCGACTTAATCATATCTTCAAAGCCCCTCTTGCCATGTGAGGTAATACCAGAGGTGCTGGAATATTTGATGCGGTTGGAGCAATAGGCAACTATCCTGCCTAACACAGGACATAAACCACAAAAAAGAGCAAATTAGATGCAACAACAACAATGATAACACATAATATTTACTAAGCATTTACTATATGGCAGGCATTGTGCTGAGCACTTTATTTGCTTAGACTCACTCTCTAGATGAGAAACCAATGCAATTAATATTTTATTTTACATATTTGGCATCATTTTGGAATCCTAAAAACGGGAACTCAAATAACCACATTTACAGATATCTGATGAATTGTTCCAGATTGAAGTAATGATATAGGAGTTCAGAGAAGGAGATTGATGATAGTGGTGTATTCGGAAGTGGAATCTAACATCAGTCTCAAAGAAGCAGAAATTTCAGATGAACTAGTGAAGAAGGAAGAACACAAATAGTGTCTAAGAAGTGAGAACAAGTAAATCCAGGGAAGCTTGTTAGGAAGAACTGGAATAGAAAAGAGAAAATAAATAAAGCATTCAGGCTTTGCAACACAGTTAAATACAGTTAAATCTAACCAGACAGGAAAATACAGGATCTGTTAAGTTTCTGGGCCACAAAGTGTCATACAGTAAAATCAGGCATCTCTGCTCCTGGCATGCTTAAGAGCTCAGGATAAACGGCTTCCCCATTCTGTCCCTTCCCCTACCGTAAAGTCTTCTTTGGCTTTTTTCTCACTGGCTTAAGAAACTGCTCCTCTGCTACTATCTACCTCATCCTAAGCATCAACTCCAGGTGGGGCTGGTGCCTAGGCATTTTATATTACTTTTATATGTCTGCCTAACTTGGATGAGAACCTACATCAGAACTGACTCATAAATCTCACAAATGCTGTCATTTACCCTCAGCATCTATGTTCAATAATAAAGACACAAGTCCTACACAATCCAACTCAGCCCAGGGTCCTGGCTTAGACAATGCCTGCTACCTGGTCTCTCCCCACACCCGGCTCTCACTTCAATACCAGTGCATTGGCATCAGTATTTATCTTTTCAAATTAGCATGCAATTCAAAAGAATGTCTTTATCTCACAGATCAACAGGTATCCTATCCTATAGCAGAGGTGCTAGGATATTTGCTGTGGTTGGAGCAATAGGCGACTATTACCTAGTTTTATGCTGTTGCTTTTTTACAAGCTAACTAATGAAAAGACTAGTTTATCACCTAATTTTATGCTATTCTTTTTTACGAGCTAACTAACAAAAAGAGTCAATCATTGTTTTTGTGGGAAGACGCTGAACCTTTGCACTTTCTGAGCAATCTCTGTTTCGCTATTATTTCACCGTATGTATAACATTTAAAACCTCAACAGTCAAAACAAGCATTCTATAACGTGGTAGCAGCCAACCTGCTGCATTAATGCTATGAGTGGTAACTGAGACAATGAAGAGCCTTAGAATTCTCTAAATGTTTTGATGTTCAGGGAAAGAGTTGTATTAGAAAACAATCCTTAATCAGGTTGAGATTTAATTGCATTCAGAGTCAGAGTGTTAACTTACTGCTAAGAGATTCAATGTTATACATGAGATTATACAAACAGGTACAAGTCACAGCAGATATAGGAGAGATAATAAACCAAAACTGACTGGCACAGCTAGTTCCTGAGAGCCAGTTAGGTAACTGTTTGGCACATTTTGCCAATTTCCATATATAAGATCACATGCTACACTGTATGAATGAAAGTATTACATTCAATTAACTGACCTGCCTGTCATATGTCAGCAGAGAAATATTTATTGAGCACCCCACAGATGAGAAACTTTAGAAACTATTTTAATAGGGAAACATCTAAGGGTAGAATAATTGCTTCTTTTCCTGTATGTAACTAGAACAGTGCTCACCCTCAAAACAACACTAAGCTACAATACAGAAAACCTTAGAGCAGAGCCAGGATCCAAAACCAAAATTAATTAATGTACCACAGTTCATGAAGCACTTCCACATGCATTATCATATTCATTCATTTTGTAACTCTTATAAATGAGAAAAGTGAGTTTCAGCAAGGGTGGGCAATGTGAGTACTAATAAAAAAACTGGACTTTGTTAAGTGCACTCTGAATAAGGAGACCACCTAAACAGGCTCTGTGTGAGCAACAAGGCTGATTATTCACTTGGGTGTGAGTGGACTAAGTCCAAAAAAAGAGTCAGCAGAGGGTAGCAGGATTGGAGCTGGTTTTATAGGTTGTGGGTAAGTAATGGAAAGTTACAGTTTAGTGTGGTTTTTGCAAGCCGGGGTTGGGGGATGTGTCACAGGGTCCAGTGTCACAAGGTTGACTGGGTCCAGTGTCACAAGGTTGACCTATCAGTTGAGGTAGGAACAGTGGTAGAATGTTGCAAAGTGGGTTCATCAGGCCACAGGATCCAATGTCACAAGGTTGACTTATCAGGTGAGGCAGGAACAATGGTGGAATGTCACAAGGTCAGTTAATCAGGCACTGCAGGAGCTAGCTATTCTCCTTTTGTGGTTTTTCTGTTACCTTAGACTTTCTGACTCCAGGAGGCCATCTGGAGGTGGATGTGTAGGTCACAGGGGTCACTATGGCTTGACTATGGTGTAGTCCATGGTGCAGTCAGTTCAAAGAACCTTGCAGACATAAAACCAAGCACAATCCTTTAACATGTTTTTATATATGAGATTTAGGTCAAGCACACATTATGCAGATTTTTAGAGCCTTTGCACGTCTACCCACAAATTATGAATATAAAATTACAAATTGATATTATAGTACTCACTTCTTAAAACATTTTATTGCCCCAGAGTATAATAGGATATGGACATGATTGACCATGACCATACATTAAAAATGTACCACCCAGACTGTGGAAAAACTTTCTTCCTGTCTGTGATACCAAAAACAGTCCTCTCATTAAATTGCACCTTCAGATCTTCCCTTTCCATAAATTTTCCTCAGTGATTTATACCCCACAAAATATTACTGATTTGATTCCCCATTCACTACCTCCCTAGTATTCTTCTCATTTTAGCATGAATATTACTGAATCTCTTTACAGTGTTTCTGTAAAATATTTGTGTGGATATACATATGTATACTCTGCCATTTTCTATGTAAGCTGCTTAATAACTGAGCTATCTCAGACATTTAATTCAGATGTGTGTACCACCTGAGTACTCACTAAATAGAAATTTACATAATGCCTTTATTCTAACATGTTTACCACCTTATTACAAAGCAAATATAAAGGAAACTGCAAGCCTGGCAAGGTGGCTCACATCTATAAAACCCAGCGATTTGGGAGGCTGAGGTGGGTGGACTCCCTGAGCTCAGGAGTTTGAGACCACCCTGGGTGATATGGTGAAAACTTGTCTCTGCAAAAAATAGAAAAATTAGCCAGGTATAGTGGCACATGCCTGTAGTACTAGCTACTTGGGGCTCTGAGGTGGGAGGATAACCTGAGCCTTGGGTGATCAAGGCTTCAGTGATCTGTGTCCCCACCACTGCACTCCAACCTAAGTAACAGAGTGAGACACCATCTCTGAAACATATTAAAATAAAGAAAACTACAAATTTATGTTATTTAGTTCTGATGTTTACACGTCTAGCTTTGGGCTCTGAAATAGCACGAATTCCACAGACAAAATCCTTAGAGAAGTCAGAGGAGCCAGCTCTCTGACTGAGATAACAGAGAAGGCTCCTAGCTGAGTAAAAACTACTGTATGAATCTGTCAATGTCCTCTAGCCAAAGACCACCAGCAACACATCTGGGTTTATTAATTCATTGCAAGGAGGAGAAACAAATAGCATGGGGGATCATGAAGCATCTCAGTAAGAAGGTGTTGGAAAAAATTTACAGGATTTGAGCTTGTGGTAGGTGATTTCGGAGCGCTTTCAAGAAAATGGAGATCTTCCCTGGACTGGATTGTTGTACAGAAATGGGGAATTCTCATTAGGTATCTTAATTATTCTTATGTAAACAATGAAAGGAATGAAGTAGGTTAATGCTGTAATTGAAAATAATCAGCAGTTATTCATTATTAGCCAGGAAAGGGGAATATTAGCTCATTTTCATGGATTGAGTGGTGTTCTTATTTTTCTCTGTTCTAAAATAATCATAAAGTAGTCTAATTTTTATCTTGCTCTATTACAGTCACAAAGAGATGTGTGTGAGGTCTGTGTTCTGTCAAAGTGTTTTACATTCAACAAGAGAACTCCACAGCTTCATTGTAAGTACTAAGCCAAGTCTTGGACAGTAGTGCAAACTAGATGAGAAAGCTTTGCTCAAAGGGCAGAACTGGTCAGAAAACAACTATTATTGTCATTATTTACATATATTAACAAGCTTATAGTTTATAAAGTCCTTATATATTCATTGTGTAACTTGAGCCTCTCAGAACAATCTTGGAGTAGACCATAGTACCTCCACATTACACAACTCCAGGGGCTCCACTGATCATGTATTCCATTTGAATGACACCTCCTCACTGTGAATAACATCCCCACTGGAGTTGTGCAAAAAAGGCTGGGCAGACATCTCTATTTTGTTTGACAACGATTAAAATGGAGACAAAGAAGATTTCTGAGTGTTCTTTATTTCTCAGTGAACCCCAGATTTCTGTCAAGTTCAACTGCTGACGTTGGATCCCTGATGCAGTCATAGTTTCCCCTTCCAGACAGTTGCACCAGCCTGCCCTGTGATGACCTAGATTACACAGGCTACTACATTAAGAAAACCTTCTCCTTCCACAACTATATCTGCCCAAAACAGGATACTAAAAAGGGTAATGAACTTATAACCTCTTTCACAGTCATTTCTTAAGAAAAAAAAGTGTGAGTGTGTAAATGTGTGTGTGTGTTGTCTAGAAAGTTAATATACTATAGTATATTTTGTTTATGACCCAGGAGTGACAGTTGAAAAATATCATTTTGGAATCTGAAAAAGAAAAAAGCAAAATATCCCACTAAATTCAAAGGCTGAAATTTTTAAATGCAAACAAAGCTACTAGTTAAATGTCCTTCCACATTCTTGGAAACCTGCCAAGTAAAATATAAAAGGAAAATGGAATTTCCTATGTAATGTCTATTAATAATAAATATTTTTCCAATACTGTATTTTTGTAGCTGGGAAATTCCCTCTTGTCACTTAAGTTTCTCTCCTCAGACATTACAGAAAGTGAAACTGAAATTGAAGCACCCTACTGATAAATTAAGCACTTCCCAGAAATAATATAAACTTTGATATAATACAATAATGTGAACTTTTGGTTCAAATAATATGAACTTTAATTCTGTATTCAGAAATTCTATCTCTATAATTTACAAACTATGACTTCTGGCAATTTACCTAGCCTCTATGAACCTCACTTTCATTAAATTACCATGCACCCTTCTCTGGTCTATTATTGGGAGAGTACCATGGAATTCCCTATCAGAATTTGGACTTCCCTGTTCTAAAAGTAACCTCTCTGTAACTGCGTATTCTGGTGTCTATCTTCCTTAGAACACTAAAAGCATTTCAGGGCAGGAATCCACATGTATTTTGTTACTCTTGTATTTCCATCATTTAGCCAGTGATAAAAGCAAATGCATTGTCAAATCCAAAACAATGCTACTGTTATGGCAGTGGATAAATGCATCATATCTCTAGTATAAAGGTTAAAACACAAAGCTATTTAAAACAACTAAAGCTACAATGATTTGTTGAGAGATACAAATTACAAAAAGATAAAAGTGAGATATCAAAAACAAAAAATGTGAGAGGAGGGGGAGTAAAAGTTTAAAATTCTGTATGTAATCAAAATTTAGCTGATTTTAAGTTAAAATACCATATTATGAGATAATTTATGTAAGCTTCAGGGTAATCACAAAGCAAAAACCTATATTCAATATACGAAAGATACAAAGAAAAGATCCAAAGCATACTACAGCAGAAAGCCATCACACCACAAGGAAGAAAACAACAGAAACAAAGGAAGAAACAAAAGATTTACAAAGCAACCAGAAAACAACAAAATGGCACTAGTAAGTCTTCACCTACCAATAATTACTTTGAACGTAAATGGACTAAATTTTTCAGTCAAAATGCACAGAGCAAATGTATGTACTTAAAAAAAAGACCCAACTGTATGCTATCTACAGTTCACATCATCTTAAAGAATACTCATAGATGAAAATGAAGAGCAGAAAAAATATATTTCATGCAAATAGAAGCCAAAAGACAGCAGGGGGAGCTATACTTATTTCAGAAAATATAGACTTTAAGTCAAAACTGTAAAAAGAGACAAAGAAGGTCATTATATTGTGATAAAGGGTTCAACTCATTAAGGGTCAAACAATTTCTGTCTGTGTGTGTGTGTGTGTGCGCGCACACGTGCACGCAAAGCATCTAAATATGTAAGGCAGGGTGGGTATGGTGGCTCATGACTATAATCCCAGCACTTTGGAAGACCAAGGCAGGAGGAGTTCAAGACCAGCATGAACAACATAGGGAGAGACCATCTCTACAAAAAAAAAGTTTTTTTAATTAACCAGGTATAGTGGTGCACACACATGGCCCAGCTGCTTGCTTGAGCCTGGGAAGTCAAGGCTGCAGTGATCTGTGATTGTGCCACTGCTCTCTAGCCTGGGAAACAGAGCAAAATCCCGCCCCCACCCAAAAAAATAAGGAGAGGAAATAAAGCAAACATTAAGAGATCTGAAAGGACACAGACTGCAACAAAATAATAGCAGGATATTTCAGTACCCTACTTACAACAAGAGACAGATAACCCAGAAATAAAATCAATAAGAAAACACCAAATTCGAACTACACTTTAGATCAAATGGACATAATAGACACGTACATGACATGCTACCCAACAACAATGGAATGCACATTCTTCCGAGGCAGATGCATGATATATCTGGGAGAACCCAGATATATCATTTAGTAAGCCACAAAAACAACTTAACAAATTTTAAAGTATGAAAATCATATCAAGTGTGTTTTCCAACCAAAATGGTATAAAACTAGAAGTAAATAACAGAAGTCAGGAAAACTGCCAGCCATATGGAAAGTAAACAATATGATTCTCAACAACTATTTGGTCAAAGAAGTTAAAAGGGAAATTTTAAAATGGGAATACTAAGTCACAAATGGAAACACAACATGCCAAAATTTATGCGGGCAGCAAAAGCAGTTTAAGAGAGAATTTCATAGCAGTAAATACCTACCTCAAAAAAAAAAAAAAGGAAAATTGCAAAAAAACATACTCACATTATACTTCAAGAAATGTGTAACAGAATAACAAACTAAGTCCAAACTTAGGAGGAAAAAAAAGGAAAGATCAGAGCAAAAGTAAATAAAGGCTAGAAATGTTATACAAAAGATCTATAAAATAAACAAAATTGACAACCCACTAGCTAGACTAAGAAAAAAAGGGAGAAGACTCAACCAAAACTTACTTAAAAAATGAAAGAGCAAACATTACAACTTATTACACAAAAATACAAAGCATCATAAGTGACTACTATAAACAATCATATACAAACAAACTGGACAACATACAAAAGTTAAGAAATTCCTTCAAACAAATAGCCTATTGTATTAATGCATTTTCATGCTGCTGATAAAGACATACCTGAGACT